ACCTATTTAAACGTAGTGACATGTAAAGGAATATGAAAAAGCTAAAACGTTGAATTTAAATTGTAATGTCATCGCAGTACTGTCTAATTTTGCTTGCTTCGCTGTCAGTCGAACAAACGAAGACTAAAGCGTGAATGACGCTCTGTATACGATTTTAACGCCCTATAAGTTCGGACACTTTTTAGCGCGGAGCCGACGTCCATATGATTGTAAGTCAATGGGTCTAACACTATATATTGAACAGACAACTGATCTTTTCTTCTTCTTCTTCTCTCTCCCACTCTTTCTCTTTTAAATCATTTTATTGAATTAAATACTCACTCCCTCATAAATAACCCACTTTCTTTGCGGACAATGTTTTTTTTATCATCGTTATTGTTAGAAAAACTGCTGTTCATCATCAATTCCTCTCGTTAACTGTAAAAAAAAACCTACAATGAAATTTGCTTGTGGAAGAAAGTTCTCAACGTTTGAAATACATGTAGTTCCAAGTCATATTGGGCAAACATGGCGGAATACCCAGCAATTGGAGGATGATGAGGCCTAGACAAACACAAAATTAAAATCCCCGGAACCCTAAGAAATTTCCTATAGACATAAAAAGCATTTCTCGCTTCTGCTCCCTGTCTTATAGGATTAGTATTCCTCAGTCGCACTGATGGAATTCTATGACCGCAAACGAATAAAACTCGATCGCCCGACACCGCGTTCGCTAGGCCCGAGATTATAGGATCTGTTATTTGAAATCGGAAACCATTCCCTGATAGCGGTCGGAATTTTAAAGGCTGGCTTGGAGACTGGTTGAAATTGTATTCCCAGAAAACTGATTTCTTTTAAAAGATTTACAAAATATCTTTACTCGAAATTATCACATTAAACTTAAACACGCACACAATAATAAGTACACACACATAGCCCTGCACTTCAGCCACGGAGGCAGATAAGAAAGTTAAGAAGGAGACCCTTCGAATAATGAGTAACTGCTTGTTGCTTCTCGTAAAATGGCATTTATTCATATTTATCATTTAAAATATTGCAGTCAGGTGATCCTAAAAGAGCTAAAAAGTTCATTAGTACGGGTTTTTGTCATCCAAATAAGTAAATAAATAAAATAAAAATTACAAATTAGACAATATCGTATACGTTGTTCTGATCCCAAAGTAACTAAGGCATTTGTGTTATGGAAATCGGAAACAACGACTTTACCACAAACACCCACACACGAGACAACATAGAAAAGTTAGTTTTTGTACATTGATCTCTTTTGGTTGATCATACATGGCGCCGCAGTAGTGCGTTTTTTGTTGTCATACCGCAGAACCAGCGGTGTAAATGCAGCTCATACGGCGTTATCTTCTAAAATGATTAATAGAGAATTGTGGCAACCCTCGCCGCTGCCGCTCGCGATGCGTGTATGGAAGTGTGCATACGAATGCGGTGCCGCTGTTATTACGGTGCCGTGTGAAATTAGCCTTAAGTTTTTGCTCAACTACAGTTTTAAGCGTCGTAAATAGTAAATTTTAAATATGTTGAGCACACTTATTTAGTAGCTTATTGCATTTATATAAGTACTCGTAACTTATACATATTTTGTAAGACATAACTTGCTTTATAAAACTTTGCAATTGTATTAATGTACTTGACGTTGTTTTTATTAACTAAAACGTTTGCATAAAAGACTTCTTTGCTTTGGATACGAGGGAAGTCGTTTGGTAACGTCATTTTCAATGTAACTTATAAAGCATGACGGCAATCAATCTTTAAAGTGAATTTTGAATAATGACTGTAATAAAATTGTATTACCTATTATAATATTTTACATAATATATTATATTTATATGAAATTTACATTTGATGGTACATAGCGTAGGTACAATTTTCATCACAATCAAGCGATTCCCTGGCTTTAAACTAAGAAAACTTGTGTCTTAGGAATAAAATAGATTTTTACTTATACAGATCATTATGAGAGATACCCGAAACAAAAAACGATATTGTCAAAAAATCAGCATGCATGCACATATCATTATTTCAGCCGGAAGACCTCCACTGCTGGACGTGCTACTCAGAGCTTTAAACACAGTGCTACTCAGAGCTTTAAATCGCAAAGATCTGAGGGGCAATACCACTGCGCTCGTTACCCTGAGACTTAATTTCACCAGCACCCTTACCCTTCAAAGCCAGAACACAGTAACTGACATTACTGCTTGGCGGCAGAAATACTTAAGATGGGAGCAGTACCCCTTTTTTTTGACGGGGGGAGATCTTTATAGATACCTCTGAGCCCAGGGAGACTCAGGGGTTATATGGGAACCTCCAGACCGGGGGCCTACCCCACTATAACCTCCCTGGGTTCACCACTCGCCGGTTGAGTCGGCGCCGCGGGATCGGTGAACATTCACCACGACGCCGCCCGGCCGCCCAAACTTGCGCCAGGGATCCCGCGCCAACGAAAGGGCGAGCCGGCCACCCCCCAAACGAGTCAGTCCGTGCAATGCAGGCTTCGGAGTCCCTGTCCAGAGTCCGCTGACCTCACTAGGGGATCAGGCGACCAGCGAACTGCCTTCGCCTTTTCCTCGTACGTCTGCGCCGACTCGTGCGACCTCGCGCACCCGCTCCGCGGCCACTTATTGCGACATAACCTCTCCGCAAAAGGAGGCCACCGCCTCCCAGGAGTCCTCGCTACCGAGCAAGGCGGCAACCACGCCCGGCAGCGATATGTCCTGTCCTATTGTCCCCGTCAGAGTACGGCGCTGCTCATCCTACCGGCTGCACACGTCTAGGGTGTGCTAGTATGTAGAGTCCCCTCCTCGCCACCTTGTGCAGGTAGTGACCGAAGCAGCCGTGCCCGGTTAGCACCTGCACAAGGTCGTACGACAGTGGCCCGTGGGACCGGCTCACCCACTCTACAAGGACAGGACGGATCGCCCTAATCGTATGAGCTCCATAGGGGGAATCCTCTAAGCCCTTTTTCCACAGGTCCCCCAGCGGAGTACCGGCGAGGACGCATGCCACCGTCATGTACGCCCTTTACGCATCGTAGGGCGACCACCCTCTGGAGCTTCCTAAGCAGCGATTGCGTCGCTGCTGATAAGGCCTCACTCCAAATGGGAGCCCCATATAAGGCCATACTCCGGATCACCCTGGCGTATAGCCTTCTGCATCGGGCTCCCGGCCTCCCGAGGTAGTGCAGAGCCTGCCCAACGCCGATGCGGTGACCACTATTCGGGGAGAAAGTTGCCGGAAATGCTCCCCGATGGCAGCACTACCCTGCACGAATTCTTTCACAAGGATCTCTACTGCTACTAACATCATAATAATGACCGGTTTTCCGCAATCTTTACCAGGTCTGACCACGCTTCGTGTTTTCGTACGCTCTCGCTATTCAAGAAACAATTTGACTTAACCTGCTATATGTTCTACGAGCAATATGCTCACTGCAATTTAAGTTTTAATTCGTTGGACTATACTCTGGTTCTTTTCTTACACATAACTATTTCGTTGTCCATAAAAGCATCACTAACAAATTTTAATTTTACAGGTGTTCGAGTGGGACCGGAGCATCCAAGACACGATTCTGTCCTCTTTCTTTTGGGGCTACATCGTGCTGCAAATCCCGGCGGGCATATTGGCTGGCAAGTATGGAGGCAAGCATCTCGTCTTCGGCGCCATGTTCATCACCGGTATCGTCAACTTGTTCGTGCCGTTAGCAGCCACTTATGTAAGTACCTCATAATGTACCACCGGTAAATTTAATTTAATTATAAACTTTACACAAATCACGCCTCTTACTAGCATAGGCAGTGACTAGGAACCTCCACTCTATACGTTCCTAACAAACCACTTTCGCCTCCTTTTTTTATTATACCAAGTGACGAGGCGAACAAGTCGTTCCCCTGGTGGTAAGTGACACCACTATCGATAACAGTTGCAGTATCGCTTAGATCTTTAAATTGCAAGGGGCACCGCTACGACGCCAGTCACCCTTAGACCTAATTTGACAAGTCCCATGTGCCTGTAATTTCACCAGCGCCCTGACCTATCTAACAGAAACGCGATAATGCTCCCATTACTAAATAGTAAGGCGGCAGTACTTCTCTGGCCGAACTCTTTCACAAGTACTCTTTCTCTGTCTTTGGTAATTTTAACCTGGACTTTTTTGAGGACATCCTCTTCGTAATTGATGTATGTACTTATTTGTCGACGCATTACATTTAGAGAAAATGAGTAGGCATGTGATTCAAGATCTATGGTATGCGTAGAGTGTTAATATTGTTGTTTATATTGCGAATTGCGGGAAAACCTAAATCCGTTGGCATTCGTACCGAACACGCAGCAAGAAACCCTCGAGTATTAATCGATTCCTAATTTTACGAATATCTAAAAGTGTTACAAACGACGAAATGTTTTTCATTCGACTGGAACTCCTTTTATTGTACCTATACTAATTTCTTTGGTGTAGAAGAATTTTTTTTCGTAGATATTTGTTATTGGACGTCATTGTGTATTGTATTTATTTTTATGTGTATTATTTTGTACTAACTTTTATTTTGACTATCATTATTTACATATTTAACTGCCTCCGTGGCCGAACGCCGTTACCATGCCGGACTGCCACGCAGAGGTCCCAGGTTCGATTCCCGGGAGAAATATTTGTATGACCTACATTTATTTCTCTCGTGAGTTTGGGTGTAATTTGTGATTGTCTATGTGTGGGTCCATGGCACCCGCGACACAGGGTTTCCCTAGTGCGGGGCTATGTTGAGTCTGTGCGTTATTAAAAAACAAAAAAAAATTTTAATTTTATATTATTTTTGTTGATACACATGAGGGATTTACTACCATGACATTCATTTCATCGATACAATGATCGAAAAATTCCTTCTATCCAACTGGACTAGAACCAGCATCTGTCGCCTGTCAATTTGCAAAGCGGTAGCCACGTCGAAGCGACAGAGGCTGGTTCTAAACCAGTCGGATCGAAGGAATTTTTCTTCATGGAAGAAAAATAATGGAAGGATCTTATACCAACGATTACTATCAGATCCGCTGTTGCTATAAATCACCTTTATATAATGTTAAATACATGAAATCATATATGAGTTCTTGATAACGATTGGTCTTAGTTTCCAATTTAAAAAGATGTAAAGTTCTGAACTTTGCCCAGTTGGTGTATCGTTGAAAGTTCAATATATATTATTGTAAGTTACGACGTTTTGATTTTATAATTGAAATTTCATTCTACATGCTACCATCTAGTGGTAATAGCTGAAAGATGAACGATTAATACCTGTGAACGAAAACGGCGGACTGACTCAAGTATTTATTGTTCTGAGTTTGTTTGTATCTATAATATTATTATTGATATTAACGATCATCGTTAACAATTTCTAACATTGAAAAGATAAAACAATCGATTATAATTTAATAATTAACAATTATATTATAAATCAAGAAAATATTCACAAATGTTTTTTTCCCGATCAATGTAACTGCGCCGACTGCGTTTTGAGTGTACAATTGAAGTCGTTTTGGGTGTTGAATGCTCAACAGATTCAATGTAACAAAGTCCTGAATGGGATTTGTTATATTGTAACAGAGTCTTGTAACTGACCTTGACAGTCCGTGTTTGGTCGTTTGGCCTGATTTGCGATTGTCATCTACAGAACCGTAAATCTACGTTGTATTCACATTGCCGTGTTTTGTTCGAAGTCAAAACAAAGTCACAACCAGTCGCGAACAATGCTTTAATATTTTTTGCTAAAAGAAATAGTGGTTGAGTTACGATTTCAATTTTCCGATGTCGCAAGCTCCATAATTGACGGAAAAATAAGTTAGGCAAATGTTTGTTCACCCGTTGCTATTCTTTATCTATATTTCTATCGATGGCATACACTGTTGAGCTTACTAGCGTGTAAGCCTAGATTGCGCCAGATGTATAAAAAAGGAGTGGTACGTTGTGCGGGGAGGTCCTTTCGTACACCCTATTGGTTAAAGTACATCATTGGGCTTAATGCACTTCAAAATAATAAAAAAACTCAATCAACAACCTGGATTTCATTATGTTTCATAAAGTTACGCTGCTTCATATGTTGCGTTATTCCGAAAACCGTTTATTTACATCACAAATCCCAAATATCAGTATGTTGAAATGATTGTGGATTGTGCTCTCCGAGATACTTGTTCACCATTCACTCATGCGTGTGGACTTAAGTTGGTGAACTCGAGTACACTCTGTAAGTATGTTTCGCACTTCAAGATCATTACATCTTCATTTTGAGCTAAGCTTGAATCGTCTTTCTTCACGAATTTCTTGGTCGTGACCTAAGTCTGTTAGATGGTAGATCCAGTTCTTATGCTGATTAGGCTTTTTTATGTTATTTAAGAGCTCTTGTCGATGGGATAATTGCCAATTATCTCTGTTCAGGTCCCTAGCTTTGATACAACACATTTTATCTCAACATTATCCCTGATTTGATCTAAATAACTTCGTCTCGATGGTCGTTTTCGAAATTCGATTCTACTTACGTACCCATTTCAAAACCTTGTAACTTAGGTAAAGTAACGGTAATGAAATGTTGGACCATTCTCTTGAATAGCCGCGAAAACTAAAAATATTATTGTTCGTTTTTTATTTGTGTTCATCATGCAGGGTGGATGGATGGCAGTCTGCGCTTGTAGAATCCTGATGGGCCTATCGCAAGGCGCGTTATACCCCAGCATTCATGGCATCCTTGGGCAGTGGGCGCCAATCACAGAAAGAAGTCGGATGGGCACCTTCGTCTATGCAGGTAAGATTAGCTGTATAAAATTTTATTTAGATGAAAGAATAAAATTAAAGTGGTTCTTCGAGCCGGATGCATAAGACCGTGAAAATGCGTTGGCTGCATTTGGGCTGACTATCGCACATTGGTTGGAAGAACATTATTTTATTTCCAAAGTGCAGCAACCACTCAAACCTAAAACCTACATAAAATTAAATGGTTTTCGACTTATTATGTACCCATAAGGTACTGTATATTTATTATTTACTATTATACTATACATTTACATTTTAGTGCCAAAATTTTAAACTTTGCACCGTGACTCGATTTATACCAGCACTGTACAATGCAGCTGCCACCAAAAACCTAGTTTGAAGATTTATTCACAATGCTAATGTTCCGACAACGGTGAACATGTTCCGTACAAAAAGTGTTTTTAGCGCGAAACGATTTATTACGTTCGCAGTGCTAGGCGAGTATTTCAATGCTGTTCGAACTTTTAGTTCTTGGCCTCATGTTTGTATTCATTTCTTCCTTTGATCCTGACCATATGAGAGTGAAGTCACTGAATTTTTAAACCCTTATTAAAACATCACTCACATTGCACATTTAATAACAACGTAAACGTTTTTAAGAAACTTTCTAATTACTAAGTTTTTTATACACTTTGTCCATTTACATAAAAAATTCTACATAAAATTTTCGGAATGAATAGCTGTACATTTACGAAAACTTTACTATTTTCTTCTCAGGGTCTCAGCTAGGAACTATAATCGAGATGATGACAGCGGGTGTCCTTTCCGCCAGCAAGTTCGGTTGGCCGTCCGTCTACTACGTGGCCGGCATTACCTGTCTCGCCTGGTCCACCCTTTGGTTCACCCTCGGAGCCTCCACTCCTGGAACTCACAGGTGGATTTCAAAGGAAGAACGAAAATATATCGAAACAAATTCTGGATCGACTGATATTAATCAGACTGCGGTAAGAATTAAATAAAAGAACTAATAAAATAAAAATAAATATATAATTTTAAAATAAAAAACTTTAAATCATAAATCTACACTAATGCTGCCGATCTAAGATCTAAAAGTAAATTGATAAACTTCATGTTTACTTGTCCTTCAAACCATGTTCCTATATTTTGATTTTCTACTTTCAATTGTTATTTTTCCTTATAAGAAGTAATCCACGTACTGAAATTGAGTATAATTGTGTTTATAAAATCATCGATTGTTATTCGGTAGAACTTAAAATAATTATCATTTTTGCAAACATATGTAATAAATTCTAGTGCCATTACGAACGCGTACAAAAACTTTTCATAAATATAATCAGTTATTTCTTTATCTTTAAGTGAATGCTCAGTGGACTAAATGCCAACCATCCTTTTTTATTTTTTTTTATTTTTATTCCTATTATTTACCGCACACGCTCATACCGTGCACTAGGGAAACCCTGTATCGCGGGTGTCATGGACACACTCACTAGACAACTCTCTCTTGGTGACAATGGGACTGTTACGGACTCCTTTGTATATTTTATACTTTTTTATCGGGCATTGTGTCTAGTGAAAAGTTGATTTTCATTTGCGAAAAATAATTAGTAATTGTGATAGCCGAAACAAACCCGGAACAGCATCGTCAGCACCAGAGACGACCTCAGAGTCTATTGTTAATAATAACGTACACACTCAACATAGCCCCGCACTAGAAAAACTCTATGTCGCGGGTGCCATGGATACACACATAGACAACCTCAAATTACACCCAAACTCACGAGAGAAATAAATGTAGGCTATGTAAATATTTCTCCCGGCCCGGGAAACGAACCTGGGACCTCTACGTGGCAATTAAGTATGGTGACCATTTTTCCGCGCCCGAAAGTTTTCTGCGCCCTAAGATTTGATTCCAGATACTACATAACATTAACTTTTTCCCTTATTGACCTAAAAAATTTCATCTACGTCTTCCTCAGCTATTATTTATAATGCTTTTAAGAAAACTGTCGTCTTATCGATTGCTCAAATGTATTTCAGCTTCGATTACCCTGCTCACGAGCGCAAATAAAAAAATAATCCCTGTCCTTTTCTGTCTGAGAAATTGAGTAATTGTTTAATTGTTTTCATATCAGAACATGTCAACTCCCTGGAAGGCGATCATGACCTCTCTCCCGTTCTGGGCTATCATTATAGCCCACAGCGGTCAGTCACTGGGCTTCTGGACACTTCTAACAGAGATGCCGTCCTATATGAGCAAAGTCCTTGGCGTCGATATTAAAAGTGTAAGTTAAAAAAAATCTAATTCACAAATTTCTCATATATGCACGAAAAAAGATTCACTTCATGTCCTTCATTTGATACATTACTGTCTTTAAACTGAATTACATTTTGTTTATCTTCTTATTTCACAAATGTCAATGGCTCAATAATATATTTCAGAATGGTCTCTTTTCGGCGCTGCCGTACGCAGCGATGTATATACTCAGCTTCGTGTTCAGTTGGCTGGCGGAATTCCTCGTCAACAGAAACATTATCAAACTCAGCACTTCTCGGAAACTTTTCAACACTATCGGTAGATACAATGTTACCAATTATCATTAATATCTGAACATCCAAATTACTATTATATAGGAATGTTTTTCTTTTCATGTGCAAATGTTGGTTCCTTAACGAGAGATATGAGATCTGCACTGATAAATTAAAGCTTGTATGCCATTAAAGCACTAACATTAATAAAGGATGCAAAAAAAATATACTAGGCCTAAAAAGCGCGTGTAAGAAAGTTGGACACAGTAGTGAATCTTAAGGGACGCCAACATTTATGTATGGTTATCATTGACTTACAAATAAATGGACAACTGGTCTAATACAAAAACCACAAAAAAAATGTCTCTAGTCAACCTATTTAAACGTAGTGACATGTCAAGGAATATGAAGAAGCTAAAACGTTGAATTTAAATTGTAATGTCATCGCAGTACTGAACAAACGAAGACTAAAGCGTGAATGATGCTCTGTATACGATTTTAACGCCCTATAAGTTCGGACACTTTTTAGCGCGGACCCGACGTCCATATAATTGTAAGTCAATGATGGTTATAGTGACTTTTTCACTGACTTACATGTTTAGTTTCTTGTTTCAGCAATTACAGCATCAGTCAAATAAAATCTTACTTATCGTTATATCGTATCACATCCTATATTCCAAATTTTATTCTTTTCCCCTATGTTCGGGTCAAAGAGTTTGCGAAAACGTCAATATATACATTATGGGATTTATCGCTTTTATATGGTTCTTGCGTGAGTGCTCTCGTATAAAATAATATTGCCGTCTACTAGGAAGTTTTATTACTTCAATGTTTAGAATGTATAAATGGATTCGATAATTTGTGATTTATGGTATGGTGTGACGAATTTTATTACAGCATAAAAACAAGCAACAAAAAATCCAAATATAATTAAACTGTTTCAATAATAAATGCAAGCTCTGTTGATAAAATTTATAAAATGATTTCAATATTTATAAGGAAGTGAACAAATACAAAAACAAAATTAGAAGCTCAAATCGACTTACGCCTAAAAATAAATTAAATTTCAATGAGAATTTGCCGAGATGACAATGCGTATTAATTATAATAAGGTTTCATGAAAATAAATAAAGAAAAATAAGGAATAAATCGTAAAGGCTGGATGTACATTTTAGAGTTTGCCGTATAATTTTCTTGTAATTATGAACAAAATCTGGATCGTCATCGTAATAGATTATTATTACTACAGCCTTATTACATAGCTTGTGACATCCACCACGGCCTTGCCCTTGCCCTATTCTTATTCATCTACATATGTCGTCTGTCCATCTCGCTGTACTACATCCCACGTTTCTGTAAACACCTTTCGGCCATCATTCGGTTGTCGATTAACTTTATCCATCATAACTTATTTAGGTCCATTATCCGATCTTCTGTATCCTGAATCTCAGGTTCGTCTTCAGATTACGAAATTCGGCATACGGTCTATAAATTAGTTACGCTTGTACTCGTAATTACCAAAGTCCCACTTTTTAGTAAATCAAATCAAATCAAATCGTTTTATTCGTCATCATGGGTACAATAAAGATGATAACATTTATTCTATGATCGCCATGACGTACCATCAAGGCATACGAATTATACTATTATTATTAATTATACTTGTCCAATACTTCCAAATAATAATAATAATAATAAAATAACACTAATAATTAACATTAAATAGTCATAAACCACTGATTATAGGCTTCCACCTTCACAGGACCAAGTCTTAAAATCCACAACAGTTAGGACATCAAAACATAGGTAATTTAATTAAGATAATAATCAATGTAAATAAACCAATGTCATACAGTCACGTTCGTCTCAATAATAAATAATAAATTAATTAATGTGAAATTAGTTAGCAAAATTCCTTTAATGTATAAAATGATTTTTCAATTAAATACTCAAATAATGTGCGTTTAAATTCCGCGAAATTTTCATTCTGCCATACCTGTAATGGCAATTTATTATAGATTTTTGGTGCCATTGCAATTATACTCTTCTCAAATAGTGACTTTTACAATTTATTTGGCGTAGTTGGTTAGGACGTCGTGCTCTTGTAACTACAGGAAAAAGTAGTGGGTGTCATCGTATAAATAAGGCTGTTTCATAGATATATAATGAAGGCAAGGTCAAAATGTTTCGTTCTCGAAAATAGTTTCTGCAACTGTCGGTCTGTTTCAGTCCACAGATTGCCCATATGCACCTCTTTTGAGCTCGAAAAACTTGTATTATGTTGCTACTATTACTCCAAAATAAGATACCATATCTGAGTGTTGCAGCTACATAGCTGTGGTAAACTACAAGTAAAGCATTTTTGTTTACCACCTTAGACAATTTAAAGAGAGCGTATGATTGTTTCGATAGATTGTTACATATTATTTGAAGTTGTTCCTCCCATTGTATTTTCCTATCAATGTGAAGTCCAAGGAATGTGGTTCCCGATGTTTCACCGATAACACGAGAGTTATAAATTAATTTGTTTGTCAAAGAGTTATTGCCCCTTTGCTTGAAATTCATAATTGTCGTTTTGTCAAGATTTAGTAATAAATTATTAAATTTAAGCCATTTCATTACATTTATTAGCCGCTCACGCGATACATGCAGCCGTGGACGCATGCCGCCACAGAGCATTACGCGATTCGTGCGTCTCTGGAAGCATACCACACCTAGAGGTGCCGGTGATGATTTTATACCGATTTATCGGATATCGAAGTTATAACAAGTAAAAGAACTAATATTAATTGCTATTTCGGTAACTACTCTAGCAAACCATAAAGTTTTTAATGCCTGGGTCTGTCATTTAAAAAAAAATAAACAACTTCAAAAATACGTCACGACAATCGTGTGAGTGTTATTGTTTGGGCTGGTGATTTCGGTGTTTATTTATTGAAAACATACCGTAAGTAGCGTTTTTTAAGTTTACCCTGAATATAAATGTTTATAAACCATACTTTAAGGAGTAATTTCATGGTAAACGTTAGAACCACTCAAACGGAATATTATCATATTTATCTAAGTACACCAAAAATTTCATTAGTGCTTTTTAAGTGCAGGATTGGCGGTGTATTACTGCATTTTATTTGAGATGTTTTTGTTGGTAGTACGGAGGGTATTTATTTAGCAATGCAGAATAATAATTTTTATTTATAAAAATTTGTATTTAAACTGCATAGCCGCCATTTTGCGGCAGGTTTATCCTATCCTTTAAGGGCCGTATAGGTGGGGGTAGCGCATCGCGTGAGCGGCTAAGGATTTTATTTATTTCTTTTTTTTTTTTTTTTTTTATAAAATATAGGTGCGCATTTGACCTCCATCTCACCTGATGGAAAGTGACGATGAGGTCGACGATGGAGCATGCACACCTAAATAATGCCTATTCACTCTCGCCTTGAAAAGGTCCAAGTTATAACGTTCAGGGAACAAGTCTGCAGGCAGGGAATTCCACTCCATAGCCGTTCGCCATATAAATGTGGAAGCGTAACGCTTCGTGCGAATCTTTGGAATATCCACAACATAGGGGTGGAACCCAAGCCTACGCCTAGTCCCCCGGTGATGGAAAGGGGAAGGCGGAATTAAATCATGTAATTCCATCGCACACTCTCCGTGATATATCCTGTAAAATACCGATAAGCAGGCAACTTTACGGCGGTGTTCAAGGCTCTGCAGCTTCGCCTCCACTAATTCCGAGTCACCTATAAGTCTCTTGGCACGGTTGTCAATTGAATCCAAAGTGGCCAGTTGATATGTCGCAGAGCCATCCCAAAGGTGGCAGCAGTACTCCATGCACGATCGGACTTGTGCCTGGTACAGCTGGAGCAACTGTCCCGGTGTAAAGTACCGCCTCACCCTGGAAAGGATCCCAAGCTTCCTTGCTGCATTTTTGGCCGTGGATTCAATGTATCTGCCGAAGTTCAAATTGGACGACAGGTCCATTCCAAGTAGCTGGAGACAATCGGCTATCGGTATGGATATATCACGAAAAGTCGGAGTCAGCTCAAAGGGACTCCGTTTTGTGGAGAATAGACACGCCTGCGTTTTGGTAGCGTTAAATTTGACAAGATTGGCATTGCCCCAATCGGAGACTGCCTGGAGTGTCAAATCTAAACGGCTAACCATGGACTCTCGACAAGACTGGATTTCCTCTCCACTGACCCTTGCATTGGTCAAGTACCTATCTACAACTGTGCTGTCATCAGCATACGCAAAGGTACCTGGAATTAACATATCATTGATATGCAGCAGAAAGAGAGTTGCAGACAGTACGGAACCCTGAGGAACTCCGGCATCTATCGCCATATGTTCGGAAGAGTAGCCTTCTAAGACCACTCGAATCGAACGTTCGCTCAAGAAATCCGAGATCCAATTGCAAAGGTCAGTGGGAAGCCCATAAGAGGGAAGCTTGCTTAAAAGGCTTGCGTGCCAGACCCTGTCAAAGGCTTTAGAAATGTCCAAAGACACTGCAAGTGCTTCGCCTTGCTTTTCTATAGCCTCGCTCCATATGTGACAGGCATACACAAGAAGATCCCCAGTAGATCGCCCTCGTCGGAATCCGTACTGGCGATCACTGAGGAGATCGTTGTCTTCAAGGTACGATAGGAGACGGTTGTTGAGTACACGTTCCATAGTCTTGCAGAGTATGGAAGTGACTGAGATAGGTCTATAGTTGACAGGGTCAGCTCTGCTTCCCTTTTTTGGTACAGGTTGCACGTTTGCAAGCTTCCACGATCTGGGAACTACACCAGTCTCAAGTGAGAGGCGGTACAGGCGTGTGAGAACAGGAGACAACTCAGGTGCACAGTTACGCAGGACTATTGCTGGAATTCCATCTGGCCCGCTAGCTTTATTCACGTCTAGATTTCGCAGAGTTCTAAGTACCTCTTTTTGGCGTATGCGAACTGGCGCCATAGTGCAGCCAGCCTGAGGTAAAGTAGGTGGTAGGGTCCCTGCGGCATCTAGACGCGAATTTTCTGCAAAGAGTGAGGCAAAGAGATTCGCCTTCTCTTCCGCAGTATGAGCCAGCGAGCCATCCGGCCTCAGCAGAGGTGGCAAAGATGGGCGACAAAAGTTCGATTCGACCGCTTTGGCCAGGGACCAAAAGGATTTGCTGCCTGCTGGATAAGAGGCAAGCTTGGCTCCTATGCGGCGCACATGGTCGAACTTGGCCCTACGTAACATGCTTTTGCACTTCTTGGCGGCCTTATTAAAAGCTTTCTTCATGTTCTGAGTACTCGGAGTTTTGCGTAGTCGAGCATCTGCCCAAGCTTGGTACGCGGACTGTTTACGTGCTTCAGCACAACTACAATTAGCGTTAAACCATGGACGAGCTTGGGGTCCATTGGGTACATCAGAGTATGGAATGTAATACTCCATACCCAAACGCAAGACCTCGACTACAGCATCAGCACAGCTCGACGAGTCTCCTGAAGTAAAGCACGCCTGCCAGAGATATGACGCAAAGAAATGGCGCATTTCGTCCCAATCTGCTAACTTGTATCGCCACACCCGTCTCATACCACTAGGGCCCTGATCGGGTGGGGAGTATACGGATACAGTTTTCACCAGACAATGGTCGGAAGTACCCAGTGGGGCCTCCACAACCACAGAGTATCGGTCCGGATCAGTTGTCAGCAGAAGGTCCAAGCAATTAGCCGTATGAGATTCAACATCTGGTATCCTAGTGGCGCCACTGACAAGCTGGGATAAGCTTAGCGTTAACGCAAGTTTACGCGTCTCTCTCCCAGCGTGATCGGTCTTCTGGTATGGGAACAACCATTCTTGATGGTGTGCATTAAAGTCCCCCAGAATGACTAGTTGCGCCGCTGGGTACCTATGCTGAATCTCATCAGACGTCTCACTTAGATATTGGAACAGCTTGGTCGTCTCCTGATCTCCACTGTGCGATCGGTAAACACAGCAGTACACTATTTGTGTAACTCCTGTGTCAACCAGAAGCCACAAAATTGAAAAACTCGGTGCCTCAAGGTTCTTGAGACGCTTGACACAGATGTCATCGCAACGTACACACAGACTCCGGCAGGAGGTACGAACCTGTGCTCCAGAGTATACCCGGGGTAGCTGAGGTACGCTGCGTCAGTCGGACATCTGATCTGCGTCTCTGTGAGGAACAGCAGCTGCGGTTTGTCGGTTTCAAGGTGGTAGTGGACCGAATCGAGATTTGAGTGCAGACCTCGGATGTTAGTGAGGTGCACTTTTAGTGGGAGGACGTGCAACCGCTGTGTATACTTTTTTCCATTTTTATAGTTTTTCATTTTTGGATTTGGAGAAGTGAATAGGCAGGAGGAAGGCAGTTGAACGAGGCACTGCGTCGTGTTCAACCAAGCAGCAGACTCATACTGCCACACGAGGTTACAATCGGCTTGGAGACCGCGGGGACGCCCGAACCCCCCCGGAGATGGCCACCTGGTCCTCCCTTCCGGTCGCCAACCGGCAAGGTGGAGCATTCCGGGATTTTTCGTTGGGTGGCGGGGCAGCCTTTCACGGGTGGCTTTCCCGCTACTTGGGCCCCCAACTTCCCACGGTCGGCCAGCGGTGCACCGTGCTTCGGATCCCGCTAGCCTCCAGAACCGAGTGCTCAGTGTGGCAGTACAAGCAGCTACAACTCGCCGTCAGACGCAATGCAACTGTTCAGACCCGACCTCCAAATGGCAACTCCCGAACACGAGTCGGAACACGGTAAAAACCATTTGGCGACTCGACTGCGTCGGGAGGGTGGTGACTAGCCACGGCCGAAGCCTACCACCAGTAGTTATTGCTCTTTAGCACCACCCAGGGGTCACTTGTAGGGTCTCAAGGGTAAACCTACGGAAGCGAGCAACATCAACCCCCATTTCAGTCTCATTTTCAAATAAAGTAGTACAGTCATCAGCGAATAAAGTTATGTGATTTGGAATTGATTTAGGCATGTCATTAATATAAATAATAAACAGCAATGGACCTAGAACACTGCCTTGTCGAACCCCATATTCTACTAGTCTAGGAGAAGATTCGTAAATAGTTTCTGTTTTTGTACTTAAATAAATTCAACTGATTTGTGTTATTTGTATTCTGTCACTCAGATATGATTTTAATAAGTTTTGAGTATTTCCGCGTACACTATAAATTCCTAATTTTTGCATTAATATATGATCCACATAGTCAAAAGCTTTTGACTTTTTGATAGGGTTTCTTTTGTCCATTCTACTGTAAATAATGTTAAAAAATTCATATATTGCAAGATCAAAGGATTTATTCTTACGAAATCCTTTTTGTTCGTTACAAAATATATTATTTGTTTCAAGGTAGTCATAAATACTTTTAGAAATAACCTTTTCAATAACCTTTGAGAATGCAGGTGTTAACGCTACAGATCTATAGTTTTTCAAATTATTAAGTTCGCCTTTTTTATGAATTGGTTTAATAATGGTTGTTTTTAGTTTAGATGGAAATACCCCTTGTTCTATGCTTAAGTTAATAATGTGACTTAAATCAGGGGAAATTGATTCAGATACAAATTTAATTATCTTTATACTTAACCCATCATATCCTGTACTGTTTGTGCTCTTAATGTCTCTTATAATTTTACTGACCTCTTCCGGGCTAACAGGTCTTAAAAAAATGATTTGTATCCATCATATTTACAAAGTTTTACACTATCGTGTGAACAACGATTCACTGGTTGTACCTGATCTATAAAATAATCATTGAAATTTTGAGCAATCTGAGTAGGGTTTGTAATATTTGTTCTATTTACAGTTATTTTCGTAATGTTATCCTTTGGCATCTGCTGCTTAGTACTAATATTAATAACGGTCCATGTTGCCTTTGATTTATTTTTAGAATTAAGTATATAATAGTTATTTTGAGATGCTTGCGTTACTTTAAAATTCTTTTAAATTTAGAAGAGTAGTTACGAAATAATTCCAAGTCATGTTTGCTTTTTGAAATTCGATATCTCCATAACAAATTTCTTCTACGCTTACTGCATTTTTTTATGCCCTCCGAAATCCACTTGGGTTTTAATTGAGTACTAATTTTTTTTCTCATAAAAGGGAAGCATAAATTGTACATTAGTTTGAATAAATTAAAGAACTCAGTATATGCTTTATCAGCGTCATTGGATGTAAAAACTTCATTAAAACTTAACTGTGCTAGATGTTGGGCTAATTTAATTATGTTATCCTTATTATAGTTACGTCTCATTACGAACCAGTAATTAAATTTACAAATTCTTTTTACGGGAATATTCAAGAGTTGTGCACTATGATCAGACATTTCCCAATCAAGAACTTCACTTTTGACTCCACGAAAATGGTTCGAGTACAATATGTTGTCAATACAGGTACTTCTTCTTGGCCTAGTAACAGTTAAAATGGCAGGTTTTAAATTGTAGCTGGATATAATGTGAACAAATCTTTTTTGTATTTACAAGTGCTATCAAGGAAATTTATGTTCAAATCGCCACATACGATGATTTTTTTATTGTTGTTAGAGGTTAGGAATGACATCATATCGCAGAAGTGATTGAAGAAAGTCTCAAACTAGAGGTCTCTATTTTTATTATTTGGAGGTCTATTAACGCACATTATTATCAGTTTGTTTTCAGTTAGTTCTATAGCACAACATTCAATAATATTAGGAACAGTAAGTTTATGGATGACGTCAACCTTCGTGTATGTTAAATTTTTTTTATCATTATACATGAACCACCACTTCTTTTGAACCTAGTAAAGTGTGCTGCTAATTTAAAGTTAAGAATATGCAAATAGATCTATATCGTCATATACCATGCTCTGTGATGTAAATAATATAAATAATATAAAACTATTATTAAACGTTATTAGTTCTATAATGTTGTTTATATTCATATAAAAGTATGAATTCCAAATTATGTATGTATTGTTATTGAACATTGGGAATTCAGTTCCGCCCAAAATTCTGATTTGAAGTGAAGCACACGATACCGTAAATGTAAAGGCAAAGTGGGTTGCTTGTCCTAAAATATTTCGAAAAACATAAAATATTTCACGGCTGTCAGTTTTATTGCAAACTAATATACATACGTTTCGCCTTACTTACACAAAACACCTTTCTAATTTTCAGCATTCTGGGGTCCCGGAGCAGCTCTGCTGGTCCTCGCGTATCTTCCTGCTGGTAACCTCACGCTGGCTGTAGCAATTCTCACAGTCACCGTTGGTCTGAATGGTGCTCACTATGTTGGGTTCTTGGTGCGTATATTTAAGACATGCCTGTATCCGTAAAGGAAAACTTGTGAAATCCTTGAGGACAATGACTCATTTTAAAGTTCCACCGTAAAGCATTGTAATATTTTCCTTTTTTGTTTACTCTTCATGTTTATTTTTAACACTTTTAGATCTCACACATCGACCTGTCCCCGAACTTCGCCAGCACGTTGATGGGTATCACCAATGGAGCGGGGAACATTTTCTCCATAATGGCACCACTTAGCGTCAGTGTTATCGTGAAAGACGAGGTAATTATCATTTCTTACACCCCATGAAAGAATGGCATAAGTCGAATTAGGTTAAATATTTTTTACTCCAGTGGATAGATAACGATGTAAGACACTTTCCTTCTAATTCATGTGACTCTATCGACAGTATTGAATGTCATAAAACCTGCAAATGCCATTACATAACGTTACTATTACAATTCTCACTTTATAAATCGGTAAATCTAATTATGTGTTCAATATATCAAACCGTATTAAACCGTAAAAAAAAATCTCGTATTATGAATTGTTTTTTACAGCTTAAAAAGGTGTAATAGAAATCGCTACGTAAATTTTTAGTGAAGTGCTCATAGAGAAAAACTTACCTTTAAGTAGAATGAAAAAAAATTCGTAAATATCAATGAAAAATTAATAAGCAGCAATCCAGTGCAAATAAAGTCCTCAAAACTTGAAAATAAAAGAATTTGTTACTTTGAACGTCCATATCATTAACTTACAATTATATGGACGTCGGGTCCGCGCTAAAAAGTGTCCGAACTTATAGGGCGTTAAAATCGTATACAGAGCGTCATTCACGCTTCAGTCTTCGATTGTTCGACTGACAGCGAAGCAAGCAAAATTAGACAGTACTGCGATGACATTACCATTTAAATTCAACGTTTTAGCTTTTTCATATTCCTTTACATGTCACTACGCTTAAATAAGTTGACTTGGGACATTTTTTTCATGATTTTTGTATTAGACCCGTCGTCCATTTATTTGTAAGTCAATGGTCCATATACAGTATTTTTATTCGTGAAATAAAGGTTTTTTTTTTGTGATCAGCTGCAATTTAGGAAATATAACTGAAATGTAATAAATTACACATTGCAAGGTATGATATATTTGGTTCCGTTTCAAAGTACGTTACCTAGAACTGCCATGTCCTTCTAAAGCGTCATATTCGGTTAATACTCATTTTTGGATACCTTGAAAAGTAGTAAAAAAGATAAGCCTTTCTTCCCGGAGGGACACGATTTATATTAAAATTGTATTAAGAGCGACGGTAGCCTAGAGGGAAAACGGTTAATTCTCTATTGAGAGGTCGACGGTTCAGATCCCTGTTGCAGGTAGAGCACATCAATGCCGATAATTGGAACGTATAATGGACCTTTGCCTTTCTTCCGCGTTTTGATAAATTTAATTAATAATAATATTATCATATCATTAAACCTTATTTTCAGACCAGTGCTGCAGAATGGAGGAAAGTGTTCTTCCTCTCCATAGGATTTTACTTTTTGGCCAACTTGTTCTACCTGCTCTTCATGTCTGGTGAGGTACAATATTGGAACGAGCCTCAGCCCAATGGCACTGTTGGTAAGTAACATTTTTTTGTGCCCATTTGATGTATGTGATTATGTAGTCGACGATGGAGCATGCACACCTATTCACTCTCGCCTCCAGAAGGCCCGAGTTGTGGCGTTCGGGGAATAAATCTGCTGGAAATTCCACTTCTTAGCCATTAGTATATATCTGGAAACGCTTTATGCGAATTAGACCTATTTACTCGTAATAACATAGTACTTACTTGGTACTTGGTGTAACGGGCTGGTGTCCGCAACTCGACGTCAAGGCGCCTATTTTGTAGTAGTAGCAACATTGAATAGTATTCTCAAAACTAGGATGTAGCAGCCTCGAGCTGATGGTACAGTATGTCTTTCTAAAAGCATAGTACAAAATGCTTGGAATAATGGTTAAATATATGACAATAATAAACGAATACTACACTTTTCGGGCTTTGTAAGCCCAGAACTATCCAGAATACTCCATTCTTATAACATTGACTTGGCGCGGACCGTTTAGCATCCTCCTTCCTAATGCGTACGTAAAATTAATGGAATATCTACTCTGTGTTTCCCTTAAACCATAATTTGGGGTTGTTCAAGGCTTGAGTGGAAAAGAATTTTTAGACAAACAAAAGACAACGCTTGGCCATAATTAAGTGACAATGTGTCCAAGGGTGTGTCTATTTTTCCCATAAATAAAAGGTACAAAATACAAAATTATTAACAAATACTCTTTGCTTCTTCCACAGAGGACGGTATCAATATGAAAGAAAAGAAGAAGGATTCTGATGTCAGTAAGAACAAAAATTCGACAGGCGATTCGAAGTTTTAAAAAATTTCAAAGTATATTTTTGCTAGTCAATACAGATACCAGTTATATATAAAGACAAAACTAAAATGACAAATTTGTTTAAACAATGGATGAGACATTTTATTTGGCGAAAACAAGGATAGTTTGTAACATTTTCTAACCCAAAAATGTTAACCGCTATTACTGTAGTATAATTATTTTGCAAGAAAGTGTATTTTTAAAGGTAAAGGGTTATGCCCCGTTATTTGGTATCACTATAATTTAAAAAGTACAATAAGGCTGTGTGCTAAACAATATTATATTTTTAAGGACAAAATATTTTCTCAAACATTCCTGAAATTATTCGCATTATTTTTAAATAAAGAACACACAAAGTTTGTCGTTTATGGGCCAATTTGTTCGCTGACAGCAGCGGAAGAGAAACATATAGGTCTTTTTAAATCTATCCACTAACCCTGAACTATAACAGACTAAAGAATAACTGTCATACAACCAACTGCCACTAGCATCAATATCATTAATTACGACAATTAAAAAAGAAACAACTGCATTACTGACAATTATAATACCATTGTATTACTTTTTGCCTATTATTATGGTGTACGAAAGAATGAATGAAATAAGATTGACAAAACAGAGTTATAACGTGAGAATGAGCGGGCAACTTGATATGGGCCGAACAAACAGAACTTACCACGCCCAAATTGAGGACATCCGAAAAGCCAAGTTAAGTGTACTCTTAACCGACGGCATGTATGAAAGCACTGATGCGTGTTGAGTGTTGTGTCTACTAGGGATGCGCGACTTGAAATGTTACTAATACTTATTATTCGAATGGGCAAATCATTCGTCTAAGTCGAATCGGAGCACAATCATTCGACTCTAGTCGGGTGATTACCGATACCGTCGGGTGCATGGTCGAATGAATATTAAGTCGGAACTACTCGGAAGCATTCACCATGTCTATTATCAATCCCTGTCCCCATTGACTTACAATTATATGGACGTCGGGTCCGCGCTAAAAAGTGTCCGCACTTGTAAGGCGCTAAAATCGTATACAGAGCGCGACACTCCGCTTTAGTCTTCATTTGTTCTACGGACAGCGCGATACTGCGATGACATAACAATTTAAATTTCGAATAGGTTGACTTGGGACACTTTTTTCGTGGTTTTTGTGTTAGACCCGTCGTCCATTTATTTGTAAGTCAATGCCTGTCCCCGTCACATTTATAGTATTTACCATATGTCAGAGAGGGGTAAACAAAGACCCTCGTCTGATCTATTGTGATCACCACTAATTAGAGATCAGAGCCAAGGCCGACAGCATTGAAGAACTGAAGGACTTTTTCGACTCCGATTCGTACGCCCATCAGGCTGGGTAGCATTGGAATCTATTGATTAGTAATACTAATTAGTAATGAATGAACATTCAGATCATTCGAATACGAAAATTAGTAGGTTAGTAATTTGTCATTAGAATGACAGTATTAGTAACTACTAATGTGTCAAATATCAAAATCATTCGCAATCGTGCATTGTTATTGTCTGCATCTACGGGAAAAGGACGTGAAGTGTATGATGTTGTATGGTGCACGAATTTACCTGTACTATATACTTTTATAGGAAAAGGTGGAGAAATAAAGTGTTTAAATGTTCTTTTTGTATTTTCGTTAACTTGATTGTGAAGATGAGTTCACATCTCCTTTATTCTTTAGTCTTTTATTATTTCCTCGCATTGTTTGAGAAATAGCTCTAATGTGCCTTAGCGGGTACGGATTGTCTGAATCGCATAATACAAAGGCTCCTTGGCGCTCGGCCTTGTAACTCGTACTCTTCAGGCAATCCGAGACTTCCCGGCCTTTATAATAACGTAATTTTAAGTAAAAGGTGATAATTTGTTTTAAAAATATAAATTATTGTATTGTTTGTAGGTAAGTTATATAATATAATATGATATTACATTGTTTGAATAATAAAATGTTTAAATTATATACCCAGATTATACTTTAGGGTTACGTATGTATTTATTATTTATTCTCGTCTAAATTACATAAACGATTGTTTAATAATGTATTCATTCATTAATAATTCCAGTGTCGTCGTAATTTTCGTCGTTTTTAAATATCTTTGGGCCACCACAGACCGAAAAAACACAAAGAAAAATTCCTTCGATCTGACTGGACTCGAACTTATTTAGGTGTGCATGCTACATCGTTGACCTCATCATCACTTTCCATCAGGTGAGATGGAGGTCAAATGCGCACTAATTTTTTATAAAAAAAAGGAACCAGCGTCTGTGACTTCAACGTGTCTGTGCCAACTAAGCGATGGATCGAGCCAGCAGATCAAACGGATTACTGTATATGCTTGACACTTTGAGGCGACAGATTCTGTCCTGTCGGATCGCAGGAATTTTTCTTTGTGTCTAAATGATCTTTTTGTGTCAATAATAATAACGAAGTAGAGGATTATTTTTACAAAAAAAAAATATAGATGAATATTACGCTAGTAAAAATCATGATGTTCAATCGAAATAAAAATATTGCGACAGTAATCTTGTTTATAACATGAACGGTGATCAGAGTGCCGTAATTATATTTGCTCAAACTTCGCAAACAACATTCCGTATACTTAGGAAATAAAAAATAACGAAGCAAGATGGTTATTACATAGTGCAAATTATATGCGATGCAAATAAGCCAGGCTCATTCCAGTGAACAGTACACACAGCAAAGGGCAAACTTTACATAATTCTATTGACGCAAACGTAATAAGATTGCTGAATAAATATCTCCATTTGATCAAAAATTTCATAGTTAAAAATGTTAACAAAAATATTTCTTTACGATTCTTAATTGAATGTAGGTACTGTCTTATAATGTAAATAATTTCTTTTCCTCAAAAGTACAAGGTACCTCCTTTAGTGATAACTTTGAAAAAGGTGTTCTTTATATAGCAACCAAAAGCTTATTGTGCAATAGAGTAAAACTAAACCAAAGACGAATTTGTGATCGGCTACATTTCCATTGGTTTACAATTCTAATTATTATGTTACCCATTTTTAACGAAGACGTCCTCGAGCGCACCATACTGAAACTATACCAAGCAAGACTAGGTGACAATCAATCGATACAAGCCGTGGGTGATAATGTGAATAGCATAGATGATGACGTGTCAATGATATTGCACACCACCTATGATAAAGTCACAAGTTTTTGGCTTCTCTTATGAACGCATGCGGTACTTTTCGATAAATATTGTAATAATATTAATATATCTACTCAGTCAGAAATAAGTGCCATTACCAATTGTATTTAAGCCGGTATGCTGTATTTTTTATTATACTTATATCTAAGATCTATTATAATATAACTCGGGCAAAAACGGCACTTTGGAAGGTTTTCGTTGTTATCAATTTACGTTTTCCTTTTTCTTTGTTTTTCGTCTGCACGTTTTCGAATCACGTTCCTTTATTTATTTCGGGCACGTTCACGCTGCGTCTACAACCGACGTCTTTTTTTGTAAATTAAAACATATATAAGTGTTGTTTAGTTCATTCTTGTAAGTACAAACATTGTAATATAATTCCTTACTAAATTAAATACTGTACTTAATATATAAATTTATTATAAAAAATACATTAATCAAAATATTTTTAAAGTACTTTTTATTATTAATCTTTTTTTTTAATTCCTTGTGATTGACCTCTTAATATTATCTACAAATTTCACAACCTAGGCATAATTTCACTTACAACCTAAATGCTACACCCACTTTTACTAACCTAACATCGATTTGCCTAGTCACTAGCGCCAAATACTTGCTATAGCAGCAGTTCCATCTCATAATTCACATAATGCTCCTTAATTTTCTGTGTAATCTAATCTGTTGGTGTTCAACAAAAATGAATAAATAAAAAACGTGTCGATAATGTACTAATTAGCGAATTTAAAAAGTTTAAAAATTACTGTACGATATATAAACCATGTGTGTGAGCTCCTAAACTTGGGCATCACACTTAGATTTAATATTTTAAATAAAAGGAGATTCCTTAAGTTTGTCACTAGAAGCTTTCAACGACATCGTCACATTTTGAGAGCCCTCAGATTTAAGCTACATGTAGTTTTCGAGATACGAGAATTGTTTTGGCAGAATAAAGTTATCCCAGCAAGGATCAAAAAACAATTGCAAAACAGGACGACTGAATAAATCAACTTTTCTGCTACTAGAACCGACTTAAACATATCTTTACCCAGTGTTATTTTAACTGCCTCCGTGGTTGAACGGTTACCATGCCGGACTGCCACGCAGAGGTCCCAGGTTCGATTCCTGGGCCGGAGAAATATTTGTATGGCCTACATTTATTTTTCTCGTGAGTTTGGGTGTAATGTGTGGTTGTCTATGTGTGTGTTCATGGTACCCGCGTCACAGGGTTTCTCTAGTGCGGGGCTATATTGAGTGTGTGCATTATTATTATTATTGTATTACAACTGGTTTCGTTGTTAGGAGCCTGAGCGACATACACGCAACTATTAATTACACAAAATTTTTTAACTATTTGCTTATTTGTTCAAAGTCCTCAAAAGTACCATTCCACTCCTTCAACGATTCATTTGGTCTCAACGGCGAGTCTTCAACAACCGATCAACTCAACATGGTTGAAAAAAGTATATTTGGTACATGGGAAAACTCACAAGCTGCTATAGCTGTATTCTGTGACCTTTCCAAGGCATTTGATTGAAAGCACCATCATACTTTGGTCAGGAAACTTCCCCATTATGGTATCGTGCCGTGCCGTCGTGACATGTCGTGACCTCGACTTTCTTAAATCATATTTGATTGATAGGTTACAAAGAGTCTATGTCAATGGTACGAGATCATTAGAGTCTAGGCAATTTCAACTATCAAGGTTATTTTTCCATTTTTTGCATGAGATAGTAATTGTTTGCTGACTTTACGTCCTTATTATTTAAAGCTCAAAGGCACCAATGTTCCTTTCTCTCTGGCTCTGGTATATCTATATTCATGTCTTGTATTATTGTGATAAATATATTTAAGATATCTGAGGGGCAGCGGGGTTTATGGGAGGAGGGATACACTTATGAAAATTTATGTCGAGAAAACAAGATAAACATAGCATTAATAAGAAAAACAAAAATAAACTGGCAGTCGTCTTCGCAGAGTCTCAAATTCACTTTTTTTTGTTTTTTTTTTTATATCAAGTGACGGGACGAATAACTCGTTCGCCTGATGGTAAGCTACACGCCTGTCCATAACACTTGCAGTGCCACTCAGCTTTAAATAGCAAAGATCTGAGGGGTACTGCCACCGCGTCCGTCACCCTGAGACATAAGTTGACACATCCCATGTGCCTGTAATTTCACCAGCACCCTTACCCTTCAAAACCGGAGCACGGCAATGCTAACATTATCGCTTGGCGGCAGAATTAGGTGAGGTGGCAGTAGTTCCGTACACGCACTCTTTCACAAGGAGCTCTATTGCTACCTTTCAATTAAGGGGCAGTTACAAAACTACCATTACAAAATTTAAAAGTATAGTGAAACACCTTAAAACCTTATTATACCTCCTTGTAGTTTCTGAATACTTGGATAACAGAAATCCATGGTATAGACCCGTTTAGTTCGTTATTTCTAAGCATGATATTTTAAATAATCATAGTAAGTGATATGTATACACATTTTATTTAAAATGAACAACCCTTAAAGTTTCTTACTCATTCTTCTCAAGAGATTCTGCCTTACGAAAGAGTTTTTAATCAACTTATCGATTTTTGTGCAATCTGATCACCTATGAAATAAAAATATTTTGATTTACTTATATTCCATAAATTTAAAATGCTTAATAATGTCACCCTGTACAGAATACGCACACCTAAAGCATATTTAAGTTACTTAAGACAACTTGTTGAAGTTGGCTCACCTAATCCAATTATCTAACAAGCCGACTTTGAATCAGTTTGTTCAGGGCCTCAGGCATATTTCTCCGTGAAATAGTTAATTATAGTAATATATAACAAGCATTGAATCAGAAGCAGTTAGTCTACTGAATACGTATTATGTTCAACTACGAGGAGTCC